ATAGAGGAATAGCGTTTTTATGGGTTTTTGGTAATCCAGAGTCGTGGGATGTGGAAAACTCTGGGTTTTAGCGAAGAAGCAGTTTTGGTGTCAATCAGATTATTATCCAACAAAAGTTTGATAGTCTTCCAAGCTGAATCTTCTAATGCCTTCGTTTCATCTTTGCCTTTCGATTCTAGACGAAATTTGCTAGAATCATTTAAGATGGCCTTCATTTTATTGGTATAGTCCTTGCGATTGAGGATAACTGTTCCATGCCCTTTGTCCGGTTTAGAAATTACTAGTTCTTTGTAGCATTTCAACTCGGAAAGAGCATTTTTATGGTTTTGGTTATAGGAGAACGTTGTGTTATTGGAGCTCTCCGGTACTGATGGGCAATGTCCACAAATTTTGCTTTCATCCGTCCTTGATCATCAGTAGAGCGAGGTTTAAAGTCGGAAAGTTGAGGGTATAAATCTTCGAATTAAGCTTCAACGCCTACAGGGTTTATTCGTTTGTTCGGCAAACAAAAATCAAGTCCTAATGAAAAGGCCTCTGTTTGCAGCTTGTTAAGTTGGAACTCAGAAAGATTCTAGATAAATTCATCCGGGTTTGAGGGGAAGATCTCATCGGTAGGCTTATTGCAAATTGACTTAAGTAGTTTGCGATGCCAAGTATCTCTAGTCTTCCTTTGTATGATATATGTACGTTTTATGAATATGCACCAGCAGTAAAAACCAATCTTGTCAAGAAAGTGATAAGTCTGATGCAAAAGAGATTTGTTATGATACAGCGACTGAATAGAATCCTCTATTTTAGATTGTGTAAGACGGTCAAGGTTTTTGAATGTTGGGCGTACTTTCCCACGTCGAAGAACTTTGTAAAACTCAACAGGGTATTCCTTGTTTATTAGACAGGCCCCCAGATTTGCACATTCCCCTGCCCCAATCTTCCTCACAACTCAATTCCCGTTTCCCCCTCCCACTTTGTTTTAACTTTCCTTCTGTATCTGACTATTTAAGCATTAACAAAGTCAAGTTAGGCACACAAACGTTTTCGATTATTCACCATCAGGCATGTACAATAATATAAGGGAGGGTAGAGTTAACGAACGTTTAGGCAACCAATCAGGAGTAATTAGGGGGAGATGTGTTAAGAGATCAAAGGGTGAGCTTCTAGCCATAATGAGGGAGCAGACAATGGGGAGAGGAAGGGAAAGGAGATCTGACAATTAGTTCATGTCGCCCTGTCGTCCCTGTTTTGCGTCCTGTTAGGAGCTGTCAGGATGCAAAGTGTTATGGCCTTGCGACGGCGTGGCCAGCGTGGAGATGCATGCTGTCTCCGTCTCATCTCCGTCTTGCGGCGTGGTAGGACTTCAGTTGGTCGTCGGCCACGGGAGCCTTAGTGCATGTACAAACGCCTTCTGCGCGTATTAAATTTGGTTAGTTAGCCGTACGGCGACCGCCTCTGCCGTTGCAAGTATCCGCCGACGCAGGAACATGGTATTTTTCGCCAGCAGTTTATACATGACTTTAAACTCTTGGTTGACGTTTATCCGATGACCGCTGTCAATTAAATGAGCCAAAACAGCGCCAGATATTGACTTTAACACGCCTCAGTTAGGCCAAGCTCGATGGTGTTGTCGCATGCGCTTAGATTGTCGCCTGGTTGTTCGACCAATATAACCTGTTCCATAGGAGCAAGTTAAGGCGTACATGCACATTGAGGAGGTCTGGAACGGGAGTATACGCTTGCCTTCAAAAGGAAGGAATAGAGGGCTTGAAAATACGCATCTTATCTTGGCTCCTGGATACGTGTGCGCGATTGCAGCATTCAAGCGAAGAGGTAGAAGTTCGCGTGCTGAATCCTCTTGAAAAGACAATGCAAGAAATAAAGCTTTCGTCTCAGCCGTCAGCACTTCAACATTCCGTGGGCGTTCGTCCATAAATGTATTGGTAGAACTCTTGGAAAAGTCATTTTCTTGCAGTGTTTTTTTTTAAATGAGGGCGATTTCGTTCTCCAGTATCTCTCGAGACCGTATTCTCTTAGCTCGGTTATTGAAGCAGCGGACTAGGCCTCGTTTCTGACTGAGTGGGACGAAACTGTAGAAATTAGCGCATTGCACTGTTAGGGCGTCCAGAAAGGCCAGTCACTGTCTGTTCTCTTTTTTCAAAGTGAATGAGAACGCTGGATGGACCTGATTCACTTTGATTTAGGAGAGCATCGAACCCAAGTTCTGTTATTACGGAAATGTTATCCGCGGGATGGAGACGAGACAGCGACGACATGCAGCCCCAGGCTGCCCACGCCGTCGCCAAACTGTGACAAATTGAGTCCTATCTACTCCCAACAAGACTCGAGACGGGAACGACGAGGTGACATGAAGTAATTGTCGTACCCCCTCCTACCTCTCTGGCCCCTAATTATTACTAGGATCTCAGCCTTTGTTCTCTTAACACCTCTCCCCCGAGTTCGCAAGCACCAACCCAGGGTGGGTACACCCTAAGATATAGATCGGTGAACAATCAAACAAAAAAACGACTTATTTGTTACTTAAACTGTTGCTTTCTTAACCCTTGTTTGCATTTTCAAAAGACCTCAGCGTGAACTCCTGATGGCAGAACCCGGCTTGCGAGGGTTTCGCGTGCGCGTGCTTCCTTGCGTCCTGGCGTAGTGTCCGCCCTTTGAAGATTGCGTATAACTGCATGCACCGTTGGCCAGTATACCGTCATTGTTCTCGTGCCCTCAGGACGGCCCGAGTTATGACTCGCATGTTGGGCCGTCCTAACACTTGCGAACAAGCATTAAATGGAATTTAAAAAGATCAGAGTTGAGTATGCGTGGATCTACGTTGAGAAATTGTTGCCCTGAAAAAAAAACGTATTATAGACGTCAGAAAAATAATTACCATGAGCGAGAATCGGCTCTTCCTATGACCTTAATTCTGCATCAGCGTTCCTATCTCAACGGTCCCTACTACTTGCCAAACGACTGCCTCGGAAGACTCTCGAGTAGGCTCCAAGACACAGGATAAGCAGCTCGTATTGCAAATTGGTGGGAAAAACTTGCCTTTCAACTTCAGTCGAGAGTGTTGAGACCCATGCCAAAATGACCTGTGGGAAATATCTCGTAAACCTGCGCGTCAGTTGTTGTAGGCCGCGGGGGCGAATAAACTCTCCGAGCACGGGATTCTCTTCTCAAGTGCTGACTTGACGTTTTTTAAGCTGGTGGCGTTGAAAACAGCCTGCATGGGAAACTTCTGCAAGGGCTTCCATCTCACACGTGCCTTCAGACGGCCCCCATGCAGCTCTGTCTAGAAGATAAAACGATGTTTTTATTATTTGTTTGTGCACCGATCTATCTCTCAGGATGGGCACAACCGGCAAGACATCGAGCTCGATGGCTCAATGGTTAGGACGTCTGCCCC